CCCTGACCTGTACACGGGGTGTCGCAGAAAAACGACGCGCGGATTAGAAACGGTGAGAAATGAATGGAAACGGGACCTCCCCGGGATTCTCTCTCGCCTTCTCGTCGTCGTCGAATTTTGTTCGGCGGTCAAACCTGAAATTTGCGCGCGACTTTGTTAGAAATCAATTTACGGTTTCACCCCCCCCCCCCCCAATTGAAATCTCCACTTCCAGTGGCGGGAATGAAAGTATTTTACGAGAGGACTTTTCGAGTCGACTTGTAGCGCGCCTGTCCTCTATTTCTATAACTGTCGGCGAAGGACGCGCGGCTTCGCGACACGATCGATTTCTAGATCCTTGATGGAGATGGATTTATTTACGGTTTGGACGTTTAACGACCTATTATCCCCACTGTGGACGCTGAATCACCCGCGCGCCGTGTAAAATCCGCCGAGGTACGTATCGGGCAAACGACCTTGCTACCTTTCCCTTTGCGATTCGCAACGAAATGTGTATTGACCCACCGCAATTTGCAATTTAAATGATCGGGGGCTTCGCTAATATATGTATTGCGCAGTTTGAATTGATTCGGTGTGAAAGAGACTTAATAAAAAAAAAAAAAACGTCGATCGAGCGGTAAGGTGTAGTTATCTTTTTGCTTCTTCGCGCACTTTTTCATAAGCAATTGAAGTCATAATCGCGTGCTTGTGTATTTCACGCGTTGTAAAATGCCCTAGTAGCACAGTGCGTTGGCTAAACATTGGCTAAGCATTGGTCCAATGTTGATTAGATTAGAACCGATATTGTCCAACGAAAAGCCAAATATTGGCCATGGAATAAATGTAAATATTACACGATAATAATTATATAATATTGGAAGTGCACTGGCCAACATTTAACAATGCAGTAACAGTCTTGGTCTAATATTGATACAATATTAAACCAATATTGCTACATAAGAGAAGACGTCCATCTTACAATATTGGACCAATACTAGATTATTTCCCCATATTGTGCTATTAGGATAGTAGCACAGTGCGTTGGCTAAACATTGATCCAATGTTGATTATATATTAGAGATGCATTGGCCCCGATATTGTCCAACGTAAAGCCAATATTGACCATGGAATAAATGTAAATATTGCACGCTAATAATTATATAATATTAGATTTATATTGGAAGTGCACTGGCCAATATTTAACAATGCAATGACAATATTGGTCTAATATTGCATCAATATTGGACCAACGTTGCTAAATAAGAGAAGGCGTCCGTCTTATAATATTGGACCAACGTTGGGAATACTAGATTTACATTATTTCCCAATATATTCTGCTACTAGGGTAGTAGCGCAATTAGCTGAATGCATTAGCTGAACATTGATCCAATGTTGGTCATATTAGAGCTGCATTGATCGATATTGTCCAACAAAAAGCCAATATTGACCATGGAATAAATATAAATATTGCGCGCTAATAATTATATAATATTAGATTTATATTGGAAGTGCACTGGCCAATATTTAACAATGCAATAACAATATTGGTCTAATATTGCATCAATATTAGGCCAATGTCGCTAAATAAGAAAAGGCGTCCGTCTTACAATATTGGACCAATATTGGGGATATTAGATTTACACTATTTCTCAATATTGCGCCAATGTGCTACTGGGGTATCATTGAAAAGAATTAGAATAAGATTAAGGTTAGAAGCATAAGAATGAAGTAGAAGAATTACTCTAGTAGCACAGCGCTCTGGCTAAACATTGGCCCAATAAAACCAAATATTGTGCCGATGTTAACCGATGTTTGGTCAGTGCACTGTGCTACCCTCACGAAAAAGTAATGAAATAATTACTAGAAAATTACTGTACGTCAGTAATTGAACCATTAGAAATTACTAATGGTAATTTTCTAGAAATTATTTCGTTGCTTCTCCGTAATTAGTCTTCTCATGTTACACTTGTACATTAACGAAAAGTAGAGCAAGAAGGTTGCCACACAAATGTCTCGAGTAAAGTGTCTAAATGCTAATAATTGTAGTTCTAATGCCAGGTACCTTTTGAATCGCAGTTTGAATCACGCAAGGCGGGATTTCGGCAGACGAGGCACAGGTAAAGATCTACAGGCGACACGTATGTACAAAAACATCGCATTTATTCTCTGTCCTCTTAATTATGTGTATATATATGTATATATAACGTATATTTACTTAACGTTACTCCGTCGAAGACGAACTCATAGCCGATCAGAGCGAACAGAATGTATCACGGTCTCGGTTGGGAAGAGGACAACGCACGGGGTCGTACAACCGGATTTACGGCGCTCGCGCTCTTCTTTCTAATCAACTAATTAACGCAGAGTTACGGACGACAATCGATCCGTGTATCGGTCGGCTGCGAGCGGTCCCGTCCGCGAACAGGATGAGACTGGCGCGCGCGGCTCGTCGCCGCTGCGCTTATTATCTCTCGACGAGCGCGATCGCACACAACCAGTAACACCGGTCCGATAAAATTGCATTCCCCGCTCGCGATGCACCGTCCGCAGCGATCGAAACCGCTCCGGCGCGTGTCTATACAGCGATAGGACGCTCGTTCGCTATTCATTTTATGCGGGCGCTTCCTGCCTATCGAGCCTAGATCAGTTTTGTCGATTTCGCCCTTTTGAATTTCGCAAGACCGTAGAAAAATGGAAATTCGACGCGTGCATAAATTTCTATCGCGTCCGACGCGAGAGGATTGGGCATCGTTCGTGATTACTGGGCCGATTACTCGTCGACTTTTTCTTTATAATTGTAGGCTTATTTATCTTTTATATTCTCGATTATTAATATTACTTATTGTATAAAATATATCCGAAATAATGAAAGAGAACACGGCAACATTTCCGTCGACCTCATGGCTTATTTAATACTCATTCGTGTTTGATTTTATTTTTTTTTCACTCTATTTCCGCTAATTTTACATGTCGTATAATTAAAGTTACACAGCTGAATGGTAAATTGATTGTACTTGTTCAAGTAAATCAAGTCGTGACCATTAGAAATTAATAAACGTACGAGGACGCAGTTAATATTATTCCTTTCTTTCGAGCGGAAAACGATCACTTTCGGAGCATCCGGTATTATTATTTTATTCGCAGCGATGCATTGTGTGCGCGCCGATGCTTCGTAAGGCGTTTCGAAAGTGAACAGCCGATTGCATACGCGTCATTTTCTTTTATCGTCTCTTTCGCATTCCTCACCTCGTAATATACTCGGCTGTACATCGAAAGGAAATAAAATATATCGTAAATTTAATGGCCTCCCTTGTGTTTTCAGCGTCGTTGCGTGCCCAGGCGCTGGGAATCGTTTAAGGACCACTTGTCGTGACCTGTGTCTCTCAAGCTTGGATTATACCGACACTTCTGGGAAAACGTGAGCCGCGGTCATTACATCAATCCCTATTCACCTGCGTGGAAGAGACCGAGTCACCTGATCGAAATAATTCAAATAATCGCACGATGCAGTTAGATAATGGCAGAGATTTTAAGCGGCCGAGTGCAACGCGTCAATTTGGAAAATGCGTCTCGTCGCCGCGGACGAATTTCGTCCTACCGACGACTTTCTCAGCGAAAGCCCGCGAACGTACTTTGCCGTCGACAGATTCAATTAATTTTCCCTTTTCCTTTTTTCAAATGATTTATTGTCAGTGATCGGTAGCACTCGTGCTACACACGCAATTGTAAAAATTGCGACGCATTTACAGTGAGAGAGTGTGCACATTAACGGTGTATTGAATCCGTGCAATCAAAGCGACGGTATTTCCCGTCTAGACTCTGCGGTCGGAAAATATTGCACTAATCAGTTCTAAAAATAATCCGCGAAGCCGTCGTCTCGGACGAACAAAGTGGGATGTTTCATGTCTCTTCCGTATACAGGGTGCTACGCAAGACTTTGACTTCCGGTCATGGGAAGGTAGAGGGGACTAAGACAAACAGAAAAGTATTGTACTATTTTGCGCTTGGACGAATAGTTATCGAGATACGAAATTTT